AGCACAGCTATCGGGGCTTTGCTACTGAAAACATGGTGGGACCACAGTTGGGTGGGAAAGCAAACAGTGTCCTCAGTTTCCCAAGTTTGTCCTGTCTGTCTTCAGACCAGACCCCCATTGGACATGCAAGTTACAAAGAAATGACATACTTACACAGACTGGAGAGATGGCTCAAACACTCATGCTTTCTTTATTTGGTATACTGTCTCAAGCACATAAAAATCACTGAGTCCCAGGAAGCCACATGTAAAATACTCAGCACTTAGTTTAAAGACTGACATGGACCTTGGCCCTTTCCTGCTGCTAACAGATGTGGGGCCATGGGTTTGAAGTGTGCAGTGGAACTTAATTAGGAACGGTGACTGACTTTGTTAATTAGCTAATAAATTACAGATTAAGACATTTGAGCTCATAGGATATTTTAATGAACGTTAATGAAACATTAATGAACCAGTTGCATGGCCCAGGCTGTCTGGCATTTCTAGCAAAGGGCCCCAGGCTTATCCAACATGCCTTCAGCCATCAGCTGTGACCCCGTATGGCCCTTCTGGAATCCTACCCTCTAAACCCAGAGCTCTGTGGGTTTCCCTAAGCCAAGATGGCGAGGTCTTTTAAAACGCAAGCTACCCAAGATTGAACATTTACAACATCACAGATTATCTATTAACAAGATGGAGACGGCAAAGCAGTCCTCCCGGGAAGGCAGTCGCAGGCTGAGGTGCTCAGGAAGGAAGGGGGCAGACGGTGGCCTTGTATTCGGAAGGCCCAGGAATTGTGCAGATAATAAAAAGAGAATGAGCTCGTGGGTTGCTATGTTTAGGGCACACAGAAAGTGTTCCTTAAATTCAGTGCTGCCAGGGCCGCACCTGCAACCGCATTAACCCCGCAGTCTCTAGAGTCCACACTATTCATCACCAGTTTAAACTGCTTTCCACAACTGGGATTCAGAAAGTTCAAAGGGTCATCAAGGACCATTGGCCAAGGCCCAACTCTTCACTTAAGATTATCTAAAGCACATGGTGATCTGGCCTCCGTATCCACTCTAGAGCAATGGATCCCTAACCTCACCTCTGACATCACCCCAGGCCTGTGTGAATCTCTTCCTTTCCATTCAGGATGTTTCCTGTAGTGATTTCCCAAGGTACTACGTGAGCAACAGCAGCAATGAAACCACCAAACTAGACCTCTCCATGGGTGGAAAGAAAGGTTTATTGTAAACAGGATAGCTACATGGCTGTCTCTCAGGTGGCAGAGAGGGCGTGGCCAGAGACATCTAGAGGACAGCCTATAGCTGCCATGGCTACCTCTTGGGGACAGAGAGGAGGAGACTGGCAAGGGCTGTGCCCAGTGCTGGGGCTATCTCTTAGAAGCAGAGAGAAACGGGGGGAAAAGCCCCCCCCTCAGGGGGGGGGCTCTAAAGGAAACTGGCTGGAAAACCTGGAAACTGGAACCACCTTGGAGCTGGCACGGTGGAGGAGTAGGGGAGGTAAGAACAGCCAGGAAGCTATCCCAGGGGGGCTTTGGTAGGCAGAACAGGTGCGCGTTTACAGGGCTCAGAGACCCACCCCATAGGTCCAGATATGAAGGGGTAAGGAAAGGGATTCTTCCCTTCTCTTGACTGGTTTCCAAGGAATGCTGCATGTGCACTTTTATCTACCCACCAGCCATCAACCCCGCGTACAGCCTGAGCTGAGCCCAAGGTGGCAGACAGGCACTGCCATGTTAGGGGATAGCGCCTCTATAGCTACTACTGCCTGTGCCATGTGTGTGTGTGCTCGCGTGTGCGTGTGTGTGCGTGTGTCCTCACTTTCTGAGTCTCCGATCTCTAAATTTATCTGCTGTTGGCTGCACTTCAGGCAGACTTCTGGGCTGCTGATAACCAAGAGGCTGCCCCCGCCCCCAAGACCCACCTGTGCTATTAAGACTTCCATACCTGTTGAAACCAGACATTTCAATCTGGCAGGAGTTACAGTCCCAGACAAACCCTGCCTTTCCCCTCACTGATGAATTTTACTCCACTGGCAGCTATGGTCTCCTGCAGATGTTTTAAATTAAGGCTGAGAAACTGTTTTTTTTTTTTTTTTTTTTTTTTTTTTTTTATTAACACTCTTTATTTTTTTTTTTTTTTTTTTTTTTTTTTTGCTTGATTGAATCACATCACTTGGCTGACTTTTTTCTGGCCTTTTATACACTCCTTAGAGTTATCAGCTAATTGCAGACACTTCAAGCCTGTGGTTATTGTGACAGACCCTGTTAGTGAGTCTGTAGTCAAAGGGTCCCTGAAATTTCTTTTACCAAATCCTGGTTACACGTTAGGATTGGTTCAGAAATGTCGATGGAAACTCAGGAACTCATATGAGCAGACATGTCCTGTACTTGTCTGGGGAAATGGAAAAAAGACAGACCCAATAGCTCAGCTTACTTCTTGTTCTGTTTTGAAATCTCCAGTTGTGGTTGATTAAATGATTGATGAGACTTTCTAGAGGGAATCTGAGAAATTTTTGCAGAACATCAAAACCCAGCTCTGTGTTTTCTGATGCCGCTGCTTTCTGAGGCTCCCACTCCCTTTGACTTGAATTAGTTCCATGTCTTTAAATGTGGTTTGTCTGGGGATCTGTCCCTGAGAACTCATAAAGTGAGGCATGAGAGCCAACGGGAAGGACATTGTGGGGGAGGGTAGTCATCCTCCCCCTGTAGGTAGGTGCCACCTCAGGAGGACAGTAACTTCTAGGGTACTACTAAAGGCCCAAGATAAATGGACCGTAGCATGGGGAAGCCTGGAGAAGACACATACTGGTTCCCTAGATGTGTCCTTGGGGTTCCCTGATATCAAATCAGACTGATGACGAAGGGGAATTAACAGCATTGAAACAAAGCAGTGCCCAGAGTCAGGTATGTGGGGACTTCTCACTCCAACAGAGGAAGAGAGAGAAAGGGAGAGAGAGAGTTGGGATGGGGTTAGGAGGAGTGAGAGACTGAGGCCACCCCGTGTGGAGTGGGCAAAGTCTTGGATTAAACTCAGGCTGCGAGGACCACCACCAAGCGCAGACTCGAGGGGAAGCTAAAAGCAGTTAGGGTCACGGGAAGACAAGTTACAAACATTCCATAGGGCTGTCCTACAAGAAGGGCCAAAATGTGCATTTTAAAACTGAGGGGCTGGAAGATGGCTCATTTGGTAAAGTGCTTGCCTTGCAAGTCTGAGAACACAGGGAGGCAGAGACAAGCTGACCCCTGGGGCTGGCTGAGTAGGCAGCCTAGATGTGAGACAGACAGAATCTGAGGAACAACAGCCAATGCCCTCTGGCCTCCACAACTCCACAACTCATATGTAATCACGTGAACAGAGAGAGAATGATGAAAGTAATATTGACAAAGAAAGAAATGTTGCCTTTCCTAACCCTCAGGTACAGCGTTTCCTAAAAGCCGTGCTTGTAGCTGCTAACACGCTTAAGCAACTTTTGCTGTCTCATCATCTGCTCTCCAGATAAAAATTTTTTTCTCAAAGCTTGTTTGCTCATTTCCTTTTCCCTGCTGCTCTCTGAGGATGCCCAGACTTCTCCGTGGAATGGGTAAATATTGTCTCTTCTGAGAAACTCAGTCACTCAGAAACTGAGAAACAGATTGAGCTGTTCTTGAGTATGCCTCCTGCCCTTACTGCTGGGAGGCTTGGAGCCGACTCCACTGCTCACGGGAGATGAGGCCCTCCCTGCACATCCTTCCTGAACTCACGCCTCGTGCTGCCATCTTTCTTCCATTTACCCTTGAATCCATCCCCTGAGTTGTAACATATTGCCTTTTCCATTTGATCATACATTGTGGTGGGCAGGTTGTGTGAGTGCAAGCTGGAGCAACAAGTTTCTCTACATAAGCATCCATGCAGATAAAAGGGCATTTCCCAGCTCTAAGAGACACGTCCCTCTTTTACAAACAGAAGTTTATTAATTACCTCATCAGTTGCAGTAACAAATACCCTTTCATGAGTTCAGAAATGGTACCTTTCAGCTCCCTGAGCCATCTCACATTTCAAAGTAAGTAAGCCCCAACCATATTTGTTTCACAGATTAACTCGGTGCCCCGTTTGTTTAAACTACTTGGTTGAAATGTTAGAGTCAGTACTCAACAAGCCGGTGGAGTGGCTTATGGTCCCAGACAGACCTTCACAGTCCTGCGGGACTCAGCTAGAGGATGCACTCCCATCTGAACAAGGGCAGGGGTCCACCTGAAGAGCGAGACAAGCATGTAGCCTGCTGAGCATGCCAGGTCAACTTTCCAGACCTTTTCTATCAAAGGAACTCTGAGCTTCGAAACCACCCTGCCTGGGGAAGGGGGCATTCCACTGTCTCTCCTGCCATATCTGTGCTCGTTCCTCCTCTCTGCTGTCCCCACTGCTCTCCATTAAAGTCCCATTCGCAGCTGCCTTTTCTAGGGAACACTCAGCATAGTATCCCCACAACTGTCTTCCCATAAACCCTCCAGTTTATCCCTTGCCATCTGTCCCTTTGGCTTTGCTCCTACCTAGGATTGGTCATTGTTTATCATGTCACATAGAAGTCACATTTTGTTGTAAGTAGCTATCCTCCAAGCCAAACTGCAGCCACATCACAGGATCAGCTATGGGTCCTTTCATCATGGAGGGACCTATGAATTATTGACGTGTTCACATGTCCCCCCCAGGGAAAGAATTTTAGAGATAACACTCATAATGCCATATTGAATCACTTGGTTCAAAACAAGACTCCTGTATAATAGGTTCAATAAAAACCTATAATAAATAGTAGAAGATCAGGCCAATGAATGTTTCTCATGGCTGTTTGGACACTCGGCACATCTGTCACAGCCTGGCTCATTGATGTGTGGCATTGGCAACAGTGCATTACCCAGAGTTTCCTCTGCACTCTGATGCCCTTGGACTTTTCTTTCTTGTACCTGAGAGCACTCCTTAAGTCTCTTCTTTAGTTAAACAAGCTGGTAATTGACTGTTTTATTTTCTCTCCACCTAGATTTTAAAGAAATCCTGCATTGAAATTCTAGCAGCGGAACCATCCACCATATGTGCAGGAGGTAAATTGAAATTAAATGCTAATCTCTTTCATTCAGTTGATGGTGTTTTGGGTTCAAATCTATATATTGCTTCGAGGGTAAGGGAGTAAAACTGGAACAAGACACAGGTGTGTTTAAAATAAAATCAGAAATTGTTAATTAAATCTGCTGTGGAGAAAGGAAAAGAAAGGAGAAAATGTCAGTTGCTGGAAAGCCTGAAATTGACTGTCAAAATCCCCTTCTCTTGTGGGACATGAGGATAGCAGTATAGAAACAGAAATACAGAAAGTATGGAAATACTGGATTCTCACATCAGTGCAAGGCTGATCCCCATGCCACCATGCCTGTGAGTAGAGTTGTTCTTCCTTATGATGGCCCTCCACCCCACACCAGAGGGTCGCAGTAAGCCTCCATGAAATGTTGTTAAGTACTCTCTGTATTTGATATATTTGTGTTAATTGTTCAATCTACCAGGCCTTACAAAAGTGTGGCGTAGAACTCCAGGCATCACCGTGAGGCCATCATAATTTATTGTCAATGGAGGAAATCTCTAGAGAGCAGCCTTTTCTTTGAGTCACAATATTATCTCTGAGTGGTGAAAACTGGGGTTTTGCCTTGCTTTGTACTCTAATGGGCTGCCTACAGCTCCAAGCATGCTCCTCTCATATGTAGGCTTCTGTTAGTCTTGTTTCATTCATTTACTAGTCGTTTTAACCTGCTGCGGGCCAGGCGCATTGCCAGGTGATGGAGATACAAAGATGGAGTCTGTGGTCCCTGTCCCCCTGGACCTTTTGTCATTCACTATTGTAAGTCCCTGTTGATGCTCCTTTTCTGTGTCTATGAACACCAAATGCTGGTCATTAATTGTGAATAGAAAATACGTCCCCAACCCTGATGAGACGGTAGACGCTGCAGGAAGAACTTGCTTATGTTACCGGTGTGATCGAGGGGCCTGCTTGCCAGTTTCCTTCTCAATTACTGGTTGCATTTTAGAGCAATTGAAAATGGCCAAGGAGGTAGGCCCTAAGTCTATGTCAACATCACATTAATACATACATACATATATGTTATCGAGACTCAATGCCTAACTCCATACTTATGTGAATGCATATGTGCACACAGGAATACACACACACAGGAATACATACACATGTGTGTAAAGGTGTTGGCAAAATACATGGTGACTATTCAGAATACATATTAATTTCCCAAAGAAAAGCAATTTAAAAGATAAAGCTCCTTTATATGTTCAAATAAACTGTTGTTTGGCAACACAGGTGGCAGGGAAAAGTGTTCACCACAGGGCCACTCCAGGAGAATGTCTCCAAGGAAAGCCTGGTGTGGTGGCGTGCGCATACCAACCCATCACTTAGGAGGCTGAGGCAGGAGGATGGAGAGTCCAAGGCCAACCTCAGCTACATAGTGCACCTTGTAAGAATGAAGTGGGTGGGCTGGAGAGACAGCTCCAGTGTTAGGAGCACTCACCGCTCTTGCCAAGGACCCAGGTTCCCAGCACCTACATGACGGTTCACGACCATTCGTAACTCCAGTTCCAGGGGATCTGATTCCCTCTTCAGCTAAAACTCTAAGGACATCAAGCATGCATACGGTACACACATACACACAGACAAAACACACACACACATAAAATGAATAAATCAAAAAACACAAGGGAGGGAAATTTGACAGAAGATATGACCACATGAACTCATGCCAGGGCCTTGTGTAGGGCCTGTGCAGTGCGAAGCCTAAACCGGATTAGACTTGATCGACTTCCAGGTTCAGTCACCCCTGAATTCTGTGAGCTTTTCGTAAGGACTGGGTTATTCATGTTTGTGTGTGGATACAATATGTTTTTTTATAAAAGTGATTAGAAGGCGAGGAAGGCCCTTGACTGCGCAGTTATCTCATGTGTGAAGAAAAACCAAGCTTTGGCTTTGCAGTCTTGGGTATGTAGCAACCTTGTGAGACATCAAAAAGCCTACAGGGCCTGGGCAGCTTCTAATTCTCAGAATTCATTAGCTCCTTTGCCTAAGCACCTTATTCGTCTCCGTGCCCCACTGCCTAGCAGAGTACCTGGCACTAAATAGGCCTGTCTCTTTCAGAACAGATCTTGAACTGGCTGGGAAAGAGCAATTGCAGTTTTTATTTGCATTTCTGTAGTGACTAATGATGGTGAACATATTTTCATTTGTTGGCCAGAAAAAGTACACAGATTAGACCTGGCTGGGACCTAAACATGTGAGCACCTTGATTTTTTTTCTCTTCTGTTCTTACATTCATCTAATGAGCTTACCTGGAGATAAACCCACCTCAAGTTAGACACAGGAAAGCATCCAGAAGAAAGAGAAATGCTAGCTTTTGCCATCAAGAACATTAAATTATCGTTAGGGATAAAAATCTCAAAAAGGATGCTAATGAACTTACATGTCTTGAGGATACATACCTTAAAGGAAAAATGTCACAAAAGATTTTTTTAAAGATCACTGGATGTAGACAATTGTTCCCTGAAGGCCCACAGTCCATCCCGACACTTCCTGAAGGAGCTGTGTCCTAGAGACGGTCAGTGTGCACATTTCCTGTAAGCACTGAGGTGTGCAGGGCTCTGAGGATAAGGGGCATTAGAGTGGGGTGTCCTAGGTGAGGTGTGTCCTGTTCCTCCTTGCTGCAGATTCATTGCACAGAGTTGGATTACATAACTCCTTTGTACAAGGATCTGGCATTCCAGTGAGGCTGCTGGGTAGGATGTTTGAGTTGTTCTGGAAACCAAATGTGCGTGCTGACATGGAAATTGTGCCAGGGAGGGTAGGACCCCGCCTCTCACCCCAGCATCTTCTCCCTAGGCCTAAGCGGTTGCATGGTTTGGTTTCTATCATGGGTCCCTGCTGTCTTCCTTCCTCAACTCCCTGAGACTGGGCCAACCAGACATGTGGGGAGCTTCTTTTATAGAGAGTTCAACAGCTGAACTGGCAGTGCTGGACATGGTGTTAGAGACGAGAGCCTGGCGTGCAGCCTGTTTCCAGCATCTTCTCCCCTTTTGCTGATCTGTGAGGAAACAAGAGGGAGGCCAAAGGCGAGGCAGCAAACATGCAGCATCAGCAGAAGCGTCAACCAGATGTCTATATATCTGGCATTCAAACTAGAAACAAGATAGGCTTTCCCAGCTTCATTGAGGAAACAGGATGCAGTGAAAATCTCCCCAACATTGAACCAGCCGATGCACAGAGATGCGCCAGGGTAGAGAGCATCTAAAGTTTTAAATCCGCTGTTCGAAACTTAGCAATTATGTGCAAGTATCAGCTCAAGACTTCAGTCTTGACAAAGCATATTAATTAATCGAGTTACCAACCAAGGCTCTGACCTGAGGGTACGAGTTCAGCTTTGCTGGTTCTGGGAAAAAGCATCAAAAGGTCAGAATTTTCACTCCCCTGCTCTCCAGGTCCCCGTTCCTCTGATTTGTAGCACCAACCCACAGTGCCTCAGCTTCCCCACAGTTTCTTATTCCATATGTAGGTCAGCTCCACAAGGCTGACAAATGAGTGCACCTGTCCAAAATTAGGATAAGATGAGCTTTAAAGAAAGCCTAGCCCAACCCCTTCACTACTCCACAGTCCGAGCAGAGCGAGTGCCCGTCTCAGCCAGGGGGTCTTAAGAGAGTAGTGGGTGAGGGCTGAGGGACCCTTGGGGCCTGGCTGCCCTGGACTCCAGATTGGGTTTGAGGGCTTTTATCTGTGTGATCTTGAGAGATTACATAACGTCTCTGAGATCACTCTCTCAGCCGCACTCCTTCGGGGAGGTGGAAATTACATCAGATCCATACACCGCTCGTCACTGCGCTGGCACGGTGAGAGGCCATTAACTAGCCGTTATTGCTTTGGCAAACAAGAGCTCTGAGTTCCATGGGAATGAATGTGACACAAACTCATGGCATTTATTTAACTTTTAAAAGAGCCCCATAGGCTAGCTCTTTAATCCCATTCTTCCTCCAACAAAGTCTCTATTTGAGCCGCTGTTTACCTCAGATCCACTTTCGCAAACGCTGCGGTTTTCTTCCAACTTTTCGTTGTCTCTGTATATTGCCAAAGCACTGTTCCAAACCCCAGTTTTCATTTTATACACGGATGGCCAAGATAAAGGAGAGCGGGAGCAGGGCAGGTGGCTCTGCTGGGAAAGCGTGCGGCCCCGAGTTCAGTCCCCCACATGGGGTGAAGAACGCTTAGGCCATGATGGGGGCACACACTTGTGCTTTCAGCACTGTTGAGGCGAAGGCAGCTGGGCCTCATTGGCATCCAGCCTAGCCCACTCGGCGAGCAGGTCAGGGAGAGACCCTGCTGCAAACACCAAGGCAGACGGCTCCTCAGGAGCAACATGCAGGCGCCCAAATAAATAAGTAAATAAACAAACAAGGTCAATCGTTTGATATCATCAAATGCGAACAGTATTCGCAAGCATCTTACTAACTGTTCCCCCCCACCCTTGGTAGGATAATATTATAAAGAGATTTTTAAAAAACACATAGCAACGTCAGTCACACACACTGATAACCGGACACGCATTCTACCAGTGTGAAATTGATATGCAAGCCCGTGCGGTCTCTTCCAGTCATAGAGAAATGGCCCTTCACTGAAGGCCCAGTGTCGGTTCAAGCAGGTTGTGCTTGACCTCTGACCCCCCCCCCACACACACACACACAGAGCTCTGCAGTTGAGTCCAGTGACACCTGCACAAGTGCAACCTCAGAGAGAGGAAAGGTGCAGAGCCATCATACCACTACTGACCTAAAGGAAGGCTTTTCTGGTCGGGAGAGAACGAGACCAAAGGGCACAGGCAGACATTGCCCTGAGTGCCCAGCAGTGGCGTAGCACAGGCTCCGAGTGCCATGGACTGTACTTAGGAGACATCTGAGCTCTGAAGAAATTCTTTCCGGACATTCCAAAATGTAAATCAGACTCAAGGAGGGATGTTAGGGAGGGAGTGAAGGACCCTTCCCTGGGTCCCCTATGGCTGTTTTAGAACTGTCTAGACTTAAAAAGTGGCTAAGACTCAAATAGAAGGAGGAAGCATTGCAGGCAGGAACAAAATTAGGGAGTGGAGCCGGAAGCACTGTGCCTCCCTTGAGAGCATGGGGAGAAGGGCTCAGTGAACGGAATGCAACCTTCCTGTTGCTCTTGTCCTACCTGACCTGACTCCTGGGATTCTGAAGCTGATTGAAATGGCAGCCAGAGGCTCTGTAGTGGACAGGAAGCAAGTTTACAGGCGCTGGTCAAGTAATGTGTGCTGTTGTTCCTCGTTTCAGAGTCCTTTCAAGTGGTCGTGAGAGGAAATGGCTTCCGACATGCCCGAAATGTGGACAGGGTCCTCTGCAGCTTCAAGATCAATGACTCAGTCACACTCAGTAAGTCCTGGTGACACTGGTCGGGGTCGGGGGCAGGGAGGGCTTGCCAACACAGCACTGACACAATGCTGATGAGACCTCTAGGAAGGAACAGCTGGTGCCTTGATGCCCTTGGTTCTGACCTGATCTGGACCCCTCTGGGTAGGTGCAGTCTAAAGGGTGCCAGGCTGGGGAATCAGGACAAGGCTTGACACTCGGTCAGTGTCCCCGTACCCCCAACACTGAGCCAGCCTTAAGGAGTCAGTGAGTGCCTGTTTCCTACCTGTGCTCACTCCCTGGAGAGCTGAGGCATCTCAGCAAAGCGCTGGAGACGCTAGAGTAAGAATGAAAACAAGATGGTCTAGATTGATTAATCCCGAATAAAGCAAAAAACCAGAACACTGGGCTCGCATGTGTGGCTTCTGGAACTTTTTTCAATCTGGAAAACTCCTGATTGCAGTGACCAAGAAACTCTCACCATGGTGAGTTCCTTACATGAAATCAGGGATATGGAAGTAAAACTAAGTGCGTTTCATGAGGAAAAGGGAACTGTCATAACATTGGAGCCTCTGAGAGACATTTGCAGCAGGCAAGGTCTGAATTTAAAGATGTGTGTGTGACTCAGTGGCTGTCCAGGAGAGAAGGGAGGTCTGGTTGGAGGAAGGCAGATGCTGGGAGCCTGGTTATTATTTATATCTGGCGTCCATCACATGCACAATTACTGGCTCCCTGGCTGCAGTGATAAACAGCAGCCCCACTGTGCTGTGTTTTCCATCAGGCTGTACACTCCCCCACTTCATCCTTTCTGCCCAGCCTAGAGGTTTAGGGGGGAAGGAAGGCAGACCTCACCCACAGGCGGCTCATACTCTCCCCCACACTCTGTGTTTTCTCCTTGTAGCCCCAGAAGACAGGAGGTCTGAACCTGTTTTTAAATTAGGAAAATTGGACACACCTTTTTTTTTCTCTCCTCGACACCTTAAAACCCTCTTGATAGTTTAAACATAAGCTGCGGCTTCCTCATAGACATCTGGAATTTCTGGCTTGGGATAATATCAAACATTGAAAGCATTTAGCTGGTTTTATTAAAAATTGGGAATGCTCTCGTATGTCCAAAATGTGTGTGCTGTTTGAAACATTTCTCAGTGTTTCTGAGCAGGCACAGTGCAGAAGCTGCTTCTCAGGACACTGTAAATGAATCCCCACTTACCCTCCAGAGACCAATCCCAAGAAAAGACAGAAGCTAAGGATTTGATGTTCCTCTCAGAACAGGGAGCTTTGAACTAGCCTTCTGTGAGGACATGATGAGGGGTGGGGTGGGAGAAAGACACACGCGGGACAGACCCACCCTCTAGCTGGCACTTGCCAGTTGGTCTGTCAACTCTGGGATCTCGTTCCTTGGTTCCCCTTCCTGTCCTGATATGCACTCTGCAGCCAGCCCTCCCCTCACTGACAGAGAAATGCAGGCCACCAGAGTAGGGAAGCAGCAGCAAGGACACATTCATCCCATTCCCAGCACAGCCTTGAGGCTGCAGAAGACAGAGATGATAACTCAATCCCAGAGGGAACTTGTTTGTCATGTAGCAAAACTGGTGACACCGAAGGTGTTAAGCTCACTGTTAATCCAAATTTTAAAATTTACTTAGAAAGTGAAAAGTCGGCTAAGACTTCTTTAGCACAGTGACACACACCTCCTTGTGCAGACTTAAAGCCGCACCATTCTAACACAAAATCCCTATGAAAGGTAGTCAGTTCAGAGGTGGAAAGGAAATAGCGAGATGGCCCATCTAGCTCCCCTGTAATAGTGATCTGATGGTTCTGGCACCACCGTCTTGCAAATGGTGGGAATGTTCTAGAAAGCTAGTCATTGTGACCCCACATGCCGCCAGTGACTATTGGTACTTGAAACCTGGCTGCGTGATTGAGAAATTCAATTTTAATTTCGCTGGGTTTTATTTAAGTGTTCGTACTGCATGTGGCCATCTCTGCCACATCAGACAGTGCCATGACATCATTAACGACAGAAAGCAAACTGATGACAACATCAGCACCTTCAAATACTTTGAAATGACCTTGCATTCCTAGGAAACTAGAGTCACTAGTTTATTGCTAGACAATAAGGGAGCTAGTAAACTGGATGTTTAAGAAGTAGCACCTCACTTATCTTTTTCTAATTTTCAAATAAATTTTCTAGTTCACATAACTAAAAAAAATTATTTTATTATGATGTTTTTATATCTATTAGTCATTGTCCTCTTCTTGTCTTCACCCCTACCACTATCCCCAGCTATAAACACCTCAACATTTACTAATACCTTTGCCCAGAATTCCGTGGTGACCATTAGAAAATATCCCAGGGAGTTGGAGTGATAACTCAGCAGTTAAGAGCACACCTGCTTTTCCAGAGGACCTGAGTGTTAGTTCACAAGTCTTAAAAATGTCGTGTAATCATCAGATCTAAATATGAGATAAATAGAGATTTATTTGGGGGAAGGAGAAGAATCAGAGAAAAAAACAGTGGGAGAGCATAGGAGAAGAGTAAGGGGAAGGTAAGGAGAGAGAAACCTAAGCAGAGAGAGAGAGCAAGAGAAGAAAGAGAGAAGTAAGAGGCAGGGGTCCTTTTATCCCAGGCTCCTGGCAGCGATCACAGGTGACTAAGCAACCTGGGAGTAGTCTAAGCACCAACACTGAGTTCAGTTCCCAGCACCCACATCAGGAGGCTCACAACCATCTGTGACTCCAGCTCCAGGCAATCAAACTCATATCAGAGACACACACATACACATACACATACAAAAAAAAAAAAAAAAAAACAAGTAAATAAAATATTTTTAAATAAAAATATTCCGGGAAAAATGTAACAACAAACAAGATCTATTGAGAACAATTTGTAAAGACATACAAGAAGACATATGAGTGACACCTAAGAACAAAAATCTTTATGGGGAATAAAAAGAAAGTGAGAAGAACTGTGAGGTCTGGACTCTAGGCATAGGGCAGTATCGGGAGACAGACAGCAAGAAGGAGCCCTGGCTGCCTCACCTCCAGCTGCTACTGTGCACAGTGTGCAACATTCTGTGCCTTGGTTTCTCTCTGTGAAGCGCTTGTGACAACAGCTTCTAGATCAGGTTGTTAGGAGGCTCAGTGGGACTCACAGGCGTGGCCGTGAGCAGCTGCCAGTCTGGCTGGTGTTACTTCATTATTAGCAGTGACAGTGTCACTGTCACTAAACAGAGAAGCAGCAGGACACTGCAAAGATATTACTTGTTTTAAATTTAACATCTACTTTTAGTACAATCCCAGTAAAAAAAAAATTTCCATGAGTTACCAAAATAATTTTAAAAATTATATGGAAGAATAAACTATAAGAGTAGCCAAGCAAAATGCAGAAACCTGCCTGAGTTGACTTTAGAATGAGCAAGATTTAAAAAAAAAAAAAAACAAAAAAAAAACTATTCCAACGGTGTGTAACTGGTGTGATTGGCAAACTGCAACGAAACAGAGCCCCAAAGAGAACCAAACTCTGCTATGAACTTAGTGTTTTCAGTGACCGTTCACATCAGCAGTGCTGGCGCAACTGGCTCAGAGAAACGATTAAGTTTGATTTTTATCTTGCACTTTACAGTTAAACAAATTCCAGATGAACTGAAAACTTTTTAATGTGAACATGAAAATATAAAATTTCTAGAAAAGTAAATGTTTGCACAATTACCCAGTGAATAAAGATGTCAAGCTAAAAGGGACTAAGCTCGAAGAAAGAAAAAGATTGATGGTGTAAGCACGTCTTTAAGTTCTCCTCTTACCAGCTCCAACAACAACAACAACAAAAAAAAAATCAAAAGGAAAAAGAAATAAGGAGAAAAATATTTATGATATCTATGATACAGGGCCAAAAGGCTTAGTATAAAGATATCTAGTGAAAACAGGCATGTTGAAAAAAAAAAAAGAAAAGAAAAGAAAAGAAAGATAAATTCAGAAAAATGGGGCTGATGTGATGGCTCAGCTGATAAAATTGCCAGCTTGACAAGCCGAGTTCAACCCCTGGATCCCACAGTGGAAACAGAGCTGACAACTCAGTTTCCCTCTGATTTCCACACATGTGCATACAAATAATAAGAATTGTTTACAAAAGTAAAAGGAACAGACGAAATACATGAGAAGGACACTAACAGGAAAAGCAGCGCTCAGTGACCGTTTGGAGAGTACTCCATGCGGCCATGGACGGGCAAGAGGAAACCATCAGCTGGCTTTGATTTTCCTTTGGGTGTGTTCTTGACATAGGTTCCCATGTAGTTCAAGCTGGCCCCCACACACCATGTAGCCGAGGCTTGAATCCCTAATCTTTCTGCCTCCCAACTACAGTGATTAGCAGCACATGCCACCACATCCGGCACCAATCACTGATTTTGCCACAGCAAACCTGACAAGAGTAACAAAGACTCAGTGCCCAGAACTGGCAAAGGTGCAAATGACACATTTGTGCATGGTCAGTGAGACACCATCAGACATCTTAGAAGGCAGTTCTTAAAATGAGTGGACTGCTTTTTACACATTTTTTTTTTATGAAGCAGAGCTGGGATTTAATAAAGATACCTTCACATAAACACAGGGTTAAGAGAAAGAGGGATGCTAGGAAGAAAGAAAGAGGCACCTGTAAGCATGGGTGTGGGCTTCTCAAAGAAGACTTTCAGAAAGTGAGGCTAAGATCACCAGGACAGAGATGTTTACATTACGATTCATAGCAGCAAAATTTCAGGGATGAAGCAGCAACGAAACTAATCCTGTGGTTGGGGGTCAGTTAAGACAGCATAAGGAAGTGTATTAAAAGGTCGTGGCATTAGGAAGGTTGAAAGCCGCTGGTGTCCAGAGACAGGGTGGCATGGCTGCTGCTCACACCACTGCTCGTGACAGCAAAGGAAGAAGAGGCGGCAGGGAGCATTTAAACGACTGGCCTAGAGATGAGAGTGCTCATGCAGGGACACTGGCGTACCAGCTGAAAAACGACCCATTTTGCCCACAGTAAA